ACAACAAGGTACATACATACTGTTAACACTACTGCAATGTACACTTAAAAATGTCGAGATGGTAAATTTTACATCATGTGCTTTTTACCACAATTTAAAAAGAGAGAGAAAAATTAGTCACTGTGAGTTTAGAGTATGATGTACCCACTCTGTTCAAACAGATAACAATGATGAATAAAATATAAAGATGTAACACCTAAATGACAAAGCCAGGATCAAAGGAAACTAAGCATCCCCATGGAATAGAAACACAAAGCACTGAGCAGGTAGCAGCTTCAGTCCTGAAGGAGGTGGTGTGATCGGCAGTTCTGCTCCAGTCAGGTAGATGGAAATAAAAACCACCTTGTAAGATGGGGGACCAGAGCCAGGCTACCTGCTAATACCAGGGGCTGGAATAAAGTTTTCCTGCTCTAACTCTAGGAAAGCTGAAATAAAAAATGCTGCTACCACCTTTAAGCAAGATGCAGTCATAAAAATATTCTCACAATAAAAGTAACTGGACCCCATCACACTCTAGCTCAGACCCCCTTGTCCTAACCCCCATGTTACCCTCCAAGGATAGAAGCCTTCAAATGACTCTGTTTAACAATCTTTTATAAACTAGGGCTATGAGAGGCTGCATAGAGGCAACGGGGAAAGTGAGAGCAGACCTCAGAGGAGGAAGCAGACTGGAGAGAGGGAGAGAGGGAGAGAAATGTGCCTGCAGACCAAATTCCAAATACATGAAGAACTGATTCTAAATTCTAATCTAATTTACACCTAACTCTAAAAATAACAGGCAACAAAACCAATGATTAAAACATGAATTCATTACAAAAGAAATTAATTTTATGAAAAAGCCTGATAAAGTATGTTAAGAATGCTCAGAGAAATAAATGAATTAATGACTTCCTGTAAAAAGAGGGGAAAAAAGCCATACATAGTAAAAACAGGAAGAAATAAATCATGAACAGGTAGATATTAAACAAAAACCATTAAGCCATTAGACATCCAAAAATGAAAACATAGTGATTGAAATCACAAAACAGATGTCATATATTCTAGATGAGATGAATTTGAAAGTTTCTAACATAAATCACATAATACATAAGTATTGTCAGTATAAGAAACTGGAAAGCATGATTAAGAAGTAAAATGCCTACTGGGTAAGAGTTAAAATTTTCCAGAATTGAAGAAATGTGATTCTTTGGATTAAAAGTACATTCTAAATTCCTAAAAGATAAGATAGATTCATAACTATATATTATAGTGAGCTTGCAGAAAATGAAGTATGAAGAGAAAAAACTGCTTAAAAGTTTCCAGAGACTACCAACAAAGGAAGGAATATTGAACTGATAGCAAACTTCTCACAGTCAGCAATAGATGCCAGAAGTCAATGGAATATTATTTTCCAAATGCCGAGGAGAATATTGTTCTACTCAGAATTTTACAACTATCTGAACTACAACTGAAGAGTATCTTTGTCCTGGATACCAGGACAAAATGAATTCACCATCCACAGAACCTCACACACAAAAATGATTTGGTTTAGAAGACAAGTAAATTCACAGGGGCCAAATTTGATACACACACAAACAAAAACTATATGCATAGAAATTTAAAAGACTGGTAAATTTAATGACTAACTATAACATAACTAATTGTACATATGATTTTATTTTAAAATGCAACTAATCAAATTGGAGAGAAGGGTGTTGATTACTAGCAAGAAAACATTCTATGGCCCATGAGCTGTTTGGAAGACAGTACTACAAATATTCAGCAAACTGTGTAATTGTGTATGTATGTTAAAAAAAATAAGAGTAATCACTAAAGGAATAGAAATATAACCTAAGTTTGCCAACTAGAAGAAGAATAGAAAAGATAGAAACTTAAATAATGCAACAGAAATTTTTTAAAAAGAGCAAAAAGTAGATTAAAAAATACAAATGATGATGGTAAAATCCAGATACATTAATAATCTCATCAAATATATGTGGATTACACTCACCTGTTAGAACACAGATTTTTAGAATGGATTTTAAGATTGTAGCTCTATGCTACCTAACAGTCATTCTCTTCCTGTCTCCTGGTAAAAGTGGGGAAATCAGAATTAAGAAGAGAATTAATTCTTAGCTTAAATATAAAGGGAAACCAGGTAAATAACATTAAGTAAATGAGACCATTTGTGAATTTCTCTTGGCTTCTAAGTTAGCTTCTTCAGGATCTCTTCACTTTGCCCCACCCACTACTCCCTCCATATACCCAACTACAGAGTTTCACGTGAAATAAGAAATTAGCCTTTCAGGCCGGCCCAGTGGCGCACTGGAGAGTGTGCCACTTGGGAGCGCGGCGGCACTCCCGCCGAGGGTTCAGGTTCGGATCACATGTGGAGACCGGTTCCCGCTCACTGGCTGAGCGCGGTGCGGGCGCGACACCGAGGGTTGCGATCCCGTTGCCGGTCAGTAAAAAAGACAAAAAGGGGAAAAAAAAAAAAAAAAAAAGAAATTAGCCTTTCAAATGACTTCAGCCTTAATGCATACCAGAAACACCTTGGCTAAGGTTAACAGCCTGTTTTTAACTGGCCACAAGGCACCCACTATGCTCTCCTTCCAGGGTATACTCCCAGACGAGGAGCCGTACAAGGCGGGATGAGGCTTTTCTACCCAATTCTCTTCCAGGTCTGTCTTCCCCAGTCATGGCCTCCTTTAGTCCTATAAAAAAATCTTCAGGCCTATACCTCCTGTTTAAAATTTAAAAGCCAGCATTTACTCCTACTGATCCTATCTAGAAAGAGGGTGATTTTGGAAGTAGGAACGCTGATGACCTATGTCAGTGATACCACACTTATAATTAAAAGAAAATTGTCCTTAATATTCTCACAGTACCTTAAGCAAGGAAAAGCATTGTGATTCTTGGTTTGAGGCAAGTTTGGTTTAAGTGGAGAGGAGAACTGAAAATCTAGGTAGCCCACACTGCTAATTCAACAGGAGAATACCGGCTTTACAAAGATGTTAGCTCCATTACAATAAAGCTCCTGCAGTAAAATTCTCTAGTCAAGAGTTTCTTAAAAATCCCCTCATATGGGCTCAAGCACACATTTGATGGAAAATGTGTTTAAGTGTTTGGGAACAGAAGCTGTTGAAAAAAATGCATATGTACACATATAGCACAGTTGGTGTTCCCTATCCGTGGGCTCTGTATCTATGGGTTCCACATCCGTGAATTCAACCAACCTCAAATCAGAAATACTTGGAAAGAAATTGCATCTGTACTGAACATGTACAAACTTTTTTTCTTGTCACTATTCTCTAAACAATACAGAATAACAACTATTTACATAGCATTTACATTGCATTAAGTATTATAAGTAATCTAGAGATGATTTAAAGTACAGGAAAATGTGCATAGGTTATATAAATACTATGCCATTTTAAATCAGGAACTTAAGCATCTGAGAATTTTGGTATTCGTGGGAGGTCCTGGAGCCAATCCTCCACAGATACCAAGTTATGACTGTATATAAATATATATTTATAGATCTGAATATGTTCATGGGTAAAATGGTAACTTTAAGAATTCTAATATGAATGACAGATGTATTATTAAAAAGCAAGTATAATGGGCCGAGCCCGTGGCGCACTCGGGAGAGTGTGGCGCTGGGAGCGCAGCAGCGCTCCCGCCACGGGTTCGGATCCTATATAGGGATGACCGGTGCGCTCACAGCGCTCACTGGCTGAGCGCAGTGCAGCCGGTCTCAAAAAGGACAAAAAAAAAAAAAAAAGCAAGTATAATGTGCCAGAGATTCATTTAATTGAATACTGAAAGAGCCTAATGAAAACTATTTGATAATTAATTTAGAATCTAGTAAGCGTACATGAATAACCTTGTGTTATTTACTGAGATCGTAGAGGGTATGGGTGACAATCCATAACCATGATTTTCAGGGAATTTTTTTTTCATGAACTACAAATAGGAAATGCTCATATGAGAGAGCAGAAATTATATATATGTATATACAACATTCAGTGCAGCTCGAGAGTGAGACAGGCATCAGAATAGCATTAACTACTCTTTTTTGGGGGCGAGGGGCAACTGGCCAGAACAGGGTTCTTACCCTGACCTTGGTGTTATAACTCTGTGTTCTAACCAACTGAGTTAACAGGCCAGCCCCTTTAACTACTTTAAAATACAAGGAAGGGGTCTTCAAAAAGTTATTGGGAGGATTCAAATTATCTTTTAATTCCATTTTTCCATGAACTTTTTGAATTATCCTTGTATATCAGTGCTGATAATGTAGCCATTGATGCTACCTAATTTTGTCAGTTTTAGGTTTGAAAGAGACATTAGACAACACGGTGTCCAACACCCTCATTTTAAAGGTCCCGAAATTAAGCCAATAACAGGAGGTGATTTGCTAAAAGGGATATCTGCATAGTAACTGAAATGCGAATAAAACCCCAATATTCCCAGTCCGTACTCTAGAGCTCATTCCATAAATTCACACTGCCTTTGAATTCAACAGTTACTCCGAGAATCTACTGTATTAGGTATAACACAGATTTAATACATACAAACAAAAACAATATATTCTGAAAGTTCTTTCTCCACAATAAGATAGAGAAGACTACCAGACAAATTGAAGAATTTCTCTTCCTAAGCCATCCTCTGTGCTTGAAGGAGAACTAATAGAAGAAAGGAAAAAATGGCTTATTCCTTGAATTAAACAGGAAAGTAAAATTCAAAAGATAAAGTACCTAATAGAAGTGGAAGCCAGACATAGAGAATTTATATCATATGGAGAGTAACTAGCTTTTTCTCATTCAACAGGACATGACCTTTATACCATTCTAAATCATAAAATCCTCATAATAATCCTGAAAAATTGGATCAGAAAATATAAAATGACTTCAGCTTCCAATTTTCTTCTGTAAAGAGTAATGGTTACTTCATTACTCTTCATACACACACACACACACACACACACACACACACACACATGCACGCTGCAAGGTACTTACTGAGCTGTACAGATAGCCTTCGCCATTCATGGCCACATAGAGGCTGGCCTTCACCCCTTGGATGGCCACCACGCGCAGGCCCACGGGAATCAGATTAAACAGGGCTAGGGGGCAAAAAAGAAGACAGAGAGGAAGGATGAGTGACCTTTTAAATAAATCATCTTGCTTCTTACAATGATTCCCTTGAGAATTAAAACCTATTAATTGAAATAGGTAGGGAAATAGAGAAAGAAAGAGAGAGTCTAAGAATGAATAGAACTGGCTTTCTGTCTCTGCATCACCATTAATTCCCTATGTAACTTCAGGTAAGTTACATAAATTCATCCATAATAAAGTGGTTAGATTAGATCTCTAAGGGCTCCACCTGGATCTGAAAGTCCAGGATCCCTACTCCTCAAAATAAACATATACTCAAACAATGTGCTATAACACACAAATATAACACAGAGGTGAGGGGTGCTGACCCTCCGTGCAGGTGAAAATCCACATATAACTTTTGACTTCCCAGACACTTAACTATTGATAGCCTGCTGTTGACAGGAAGCCTTACTGATAACATAAACAGTTGATGAACACTTATTTTGTATGTTACATGTATTATATACTGTACTATTACAATAAAGTAAGCTATAGAAAAGAAAATATTATTAAGAAAATCATAAGGAAGAGAAAATACATCTATAGTACTATGCTATATATTTATTTATACTGTAAGCTTTTTCATTGGAAAAATTCCGTAAGTGGAACTGTGCAGTTCAAAGCCGTGTTGTTCAAGAGTCAACTGTAATTTGAACCCCAAAATTCTCAACAGTAGAAAACATATTTCTAGCCATAAGTAATAATAAAATATGATCTTTAAAGCTTATGCCAGAAGTTCTACTTTCAGTCTTTTCCCTGTGGTCCTGAACATTGTCTTGAACACAGAAGAATGCAAAAATCACTGACTCACTGGTACCAACATTGGGCACAGACAGAACTTTTCTCATGATATTCGCATTTTTTCTGTGTAAATGAAGATATATAAATAGATGGATGGATTCTCATGATATTCCCATTTTTTGTGTGTAAATGAAGATATATAAATAGATGGATGGATGACTGATAGATAGCTTAAGTTATAATGGATATATTTTATATCTAGGGGAGATATATATACACACACAAAACCATTAAAAATTAACTTGGCAAATTTAGTTCAACATCCTAAGATGAAATGGGAACATGCTTATAGTCTTCAAGCATCTGAGTTATCTATTATTCAGAACACTCAACAGTCTATAAATCCACTTGGAGAAGTAACTCATACATCAGAAAAAGATAAATAAGAAAATAATCTTCTATTTTTCTTCCAACAATGTATTGCCATGAATTATATATCCCTGGCACTATTCCAGTTACTTTTGGGATTATAAACTGAGCATAAGCAGAAAACATTGCCCCTACCCTGAAAAAATTTACATATTGGAGGAAAACAATCACATAGGTAGGCTCTGTAGACAGCAACATGGATATGAATTAAATATCTCATGACTGCACACATGAGAGAATATCTCTGCAGTTCACTTTCATATCCTGACTTAGAAGTTCTTATCTGCCTTTTCTATGGATAAAATTCCCATGAGTTTTGGTCTTCTCAGTTTTGAATATAACATACACATAAATTAACCCAAGGGCCACCATTAATCAGGAATACTTCTATTTTTCTGGGCCTCTCTCAACCTGGGATGGTAAGCTAAACACACACACACACACACACACACACACAAGTGCACATTCTTAAACACAAGTATATGGCTTCTAGTCAAATTTTCAGTTGAGAGTTGTAGAGGATCAAGCCTTAGACTACAAGTTTAGCAGAGCAAGATTCAATTCCTGTCTGTTGACACTGGATCAGTCTTTTTGCTTCTTTGAACCTATTTTCTCATTTGTCATGAAAGTTGAGACTAGATCTTAGTAGTTGCTGAAGGATTAATTCTTGGCTCAATTTAGATCTGAACTAGTTTTAGTTCATCCTATATTCTTACTACCGTCCTTGTGCTACTGAAATAACTTAAGAAATATAAGACTTTAAAGTCTAGTTGTGGAGAAAAAGCTAAAACATATGGAATAATCTGATATAGTGTATAATTTACTCCTATAATTAAACGTAATATATGCATTCTATATATATTCTCTATGTTACAGAAGTTCAGGAAGATGGAAGATCTGTGTGGCCTAAAGTGTTAAGGAAATGCCTCACAGAGAAGATGGGGTCTGGGTTGACACTCAAAGAAGGAGCAGAAGTTGAGTAAATCAAGAACAGAAGGACATTTTAGTGGGGCGGGAAGTTAGGTGGTTTTGTACGGTAATGTGTGTGTGTCTGCAGGAAGGGACTGGCAGACTGGAAGATTTGATTCATACTGGGAAGATATGTGAAAGAGGACCATGTAAACAAAGTAGGGATATTATAAATAGAGCTGCAATGAACATGGGAGTTCGGGTATCCTTCAACACAATGATTTCCATTCCTTTAGATATATACCCAGTACTGGGATTGCTGGATTATATAGGTTCTATTTGTAGTTGTTTGAAGAACCTCCATACTGTTTTCCACAATGGCTGTGCTAATTTACAGTCCCACCAACAGTGTAGAAGAGTTCCCCTTCTCCTGCATCCTCACCAGCATTTGTTGTTCTCAGTCTTTTTAATAATGGCCAGTCTAACTGGGGTGAGATGATGTCTTAATGTGGTTTTGATTTGCATTTCTCTGATGACTAGTGATGCTGAGCATTTTTTCTCGTACCTGTTAGTCATTTGTATGCCTTCCTTTGAAAAACATCTATTCATCTCCTTTGCCCATTTTTTAATTGGGTTATTTGTTTTTTTACTGTATAGTTGTTTGAGTTCTTTGCATATTCCAGATATTAATCCCTTGTCAGATGTATAGTTTACAGATATTTTCTCCCATTCTGTAGGCTGTCTTTCCACTCTACTGATTGTTTCCTTTGCTGTACAGAAGCTTTTTAGTTTGATATAATCCCATTTATTTATTTTTTTCTTTTGTTGCTTGAGCTTTTGGGGTCTTATTCAGAGTTTTGCCCAGTCCTACTTCCTGGAGTGTTTCCCTTATGTTTTCCTTTAGTAATGTTATGGTTTCAGTCTTATATTTAAGTCTTTAATCCATTTTGAGTTGATTTTAGTGTACTGCAGCTCTATTTACAATAGCCAAAATATGGGACCAACCTAAGTGTCCATCAACCGATGACAGGATAAGGAAAATGTGGTATATATACACAATGGAATACTACTCAGCCATAAAAAAGAGTGAAATTCTGCCATTTGCAGCATCATGGATGAGTCTGGAGAAAATTATGTTAAGAAAATTATGTTAAATAAGCCAGACAAAGAAATAGAAATACCGCATGTTCTCACTCAAAAATGGCTGCTAGGGAGGGGGAGGGAGGG